CCCCTTCAGTCTTGCACAGTTGTAGCGGCTCCTCCCCCCTCCCTCTGATGTCACTGTACACTGGGAGCTTCTCACAATGTGCATTAGAAGCTGCAACATTCCCTTCAGTCTTACATGCCCTGGCTGCGCCTCCTCGCCCCTGTTGCCATGGCGAGCACAGGGCACCGTTGGCAACAGGGGCGCCAGGCGGCCAAACACAGCCACAGGGAGAAAAGGAGCGTCACAGGCTCCAGCTACCCCTCGGATCCCTACTGCTCTCCCCCCACCTGCATGGGCGGAGGACTCTGTGTCTTCAATCTCTATTTCTATTTATTCTATTTTGGACTTGGCCACCAGCGCATTCTGCGCATGCGCGCCGCCACCCTGCAGGCGGGGCGCTTGACGTCACATACCGCACACGTCTGTGGGGGGGGGCACAATTTTTTTGTTCTTGCCTCGGGGCGCAAAAGGAGCTCGCTGCGGCTCTGTCCCCAACGCTCCCCTCGTATGGCCACAAAGTGTCCTCCACACGGATAACGAGGTGACTAAACCATGCGTCCCCCGGCACGTTCTCATCCCGTCGCCATCAATCTCCGACTCATTAGCGCGGCTTTGGACAAGTTCATTTTAACCTCCATATAAATTTGCAGGATTAGCATGTGGCGGGGGAGGGATTAGGCGACGGCAGCTACAAAGCCTTCCCATCGGTGGTTATCTTGGATAACGCAGTTCCTCGGTAAAGCTGCGTCATTCCGGAGCTCCTGGCGCTGGCGGGGGAAAAGGAAACCGCTTAATGCCGATGGAATGAAAAGGTTTTCTTCTCTGGTACAATTATTTCATCCTCTGCCACGTCGCTCCGGAGAAGGTCGCTCCTCGTTAAAGGACACCTGCACCAAAGCCGTCCTATGTGCCTCCTGCTTACTGATCCGGCACCGGGCTTCTTCTGGGTTCAATGACACCCATCATCGTTCAACCCACTTCCTGTCAGCGCCGGGTGTCAAGGCTCCGCCCTCTGTCTTGGGCTCAGCGCAGATAGCTGAGCCATGTGATGACTGCAACATCACTTGAGGTCCACCCATCCTCAGAAGAAGAAAAGGACCTTTGACATCATTGGACTTTCCTGAAGACAACTGGAAAAAAGAGTTGGAGGGGATCTGGGTTGAATGACGCCTATCATCAACCAACCCACTTCCTGTTAGCTTAGGGTGTCAAGGCTCCGCCCCCTGCCTTGGGCTCACCGCAGAGGTCCACCCATCCTCAGAGGAAGAAAAGGGCAAAGAGGTCCTGTGAGGTCATTGGACTTGGCTGAAGACAACTGGAGAAAAAGGTACATATAGAGGGTCCGGGGGGGATCTGGGACATCTGGGTTGCATGATGCTCATCATCATTCAACCCACTTCTTGCCAGCTCAAGGTGTCACGGCTCCGCCCTTTGCCTTGGACCCACCGCAGAGGTCCACCCATCCTCAGAGGAAGAAAAGGACGAAGAGGTCCTGTTCCGTCACTGGACTTGGCTGAAGACACCTGGAATTTTTTTTTTACATATAGAGGGTCCGGGGGGAGTTGGGTTGAATGACGCCCATCATCAATCAACCCACTTCCTGTTAGGTCAGGGTGTCCAGGCTCCACCCCATGCCTTGGGCTCACCGCAGAGAGTTGAGCCATGTAATGACCGCAGCATTTAAGGTCCACCCATCCTCCAAGGAAGCAAAGGGCAAAAAGGTCCTGTGACGTCACTGGACTTGGCTGAAGACAACTGGAGAAAAAGGTACATATAGAGGGTCCGGGGGGGATCTAGGTCACCTGGGTTGAATGACGCCCATCATCGTTCAACCCACTTCCTGCTAGGTCAGGGTGTCCAGGCCCCACCCTCTGCCTTGGATTCACCACAGAGGTCCACCCATCCTCAGAGGAAGAAAAGGACAAAGAGGTCCTGTGAGGTCATTGGACTTGGCTGAAGACAACTGAAGAAAAAGGTACATATAGAGGGTCCGGGGGGATCTGGGACATCTGGGTTGAATGACGCCCATCATCACTCAACCCACTCCCTGTCAGCTCAGGGTGTCACGGCTCCGCCCTTTGCCTTGGGCTCACCACAGAGAACTGAGCCATGTACTGACTGCAGCATTTAGGGTCCACCCTTCCTCAGAAGAAGAAAAGGGTGAAGAGGACCTGTGACGTCACTGGACTTCGTTGAAGAAAGCTGGACATAAAGGTACATATAGAGGGTCCGGGGGGATCTGGGTCATCTGGGTTGCATGACACCCATCATCACTCAACCCACTCCCTGTCAGCTCAGGGTGTCAAGGCCCCACCCTCTGTTTTTGGGTTCCACTGCAGAGAGCTGAGCCATGTAATGACTACTACATTTAAGGTCCACCTATTCTCAGACTAAGAAAAGGATGAAGAGGACCTGTGACGTCACTTGACTTGGCTAAGACAGCTAGATTCAAGGTATATATAAAGGGTTTAAAGGGGGGAACCAACGGCGAGAGGGAGCAGATGGGAGGGGAAGGATTCCCAAAAGTTGAGCTTTCAGCCCTTAAATCTTCCCACTAACTTAAGGAACAACTACCTCCCCCCAGAGCTCCCTCACCTCATCCAAAGCCATGGAAGCCCAGATCGCATTGCCGTGAAACGCGTTGACCGCAGAGAAAATTGATGTGCAAAATATTAACCTTTGTGATAGTCATCCAAATAGTCAACAGTCCCGTGGCTGCGTATTCTAGTCCGTCTTTAAGATGCGCGCTTACGCTTTTTATGACACTTGGGCCCGTCTTTTACTATAAAATGCACCAATAGAACAAAATTATATTTTTTAGTCATTTGTTGCCGGATTTTTTTGATTATTATTTACTGTTTTCGCTGAATATACATACAGGCATATTAGCCGATGGGCGTGTCTGGGTTTGGCGGTTGCCAGGGGAACGGTACTTGCCTGACTGCATTGTGCCAAGTGTAAAGTTTGGGGGAGGGGGGGTTGTTTTTTTCGGGGGTTGGGCTCCGCCCCTTACTTCCAGTGAAGGGAACTCTTAAGGCATCGGCACACCAAGACATTCTGGACAACTTTGTGGGAGGAGTTTGGGGGACGGCCCCTTCCTGTTCCAACATGACCGCGCACTAGTGCACAAAGCAAGGTCCATAAAGACATGGAGGGGGGAGTTTGGGTGGGGAGGAATGTGACCTGACCTCAACCCCATAGAACACCTTTGGGATGAATTAGAGGCGGAGACTGCGAGCCCCTCCCCCAACATCAGTACCTGACCCCACAAATGGTCCAACGTTCCCACAGACACGCTCCTAAAACCTTGTGGACGCCTTCCCAGGAGAGGCGGAGCTGTTATAGCGGCAAAGGCCAACCCAATACTGAACCCTACGAACTAAGACTGGGGGGCCATTAGAGGGCGGAGCCAACCCAATACTGAACCCTACGGACCAAGACTGGGATGTCATTAGAGGGCGGAGCCAACCCAATACTGAACCCTATGGACTAAGACTGGGATGTCATTAGAGGGCGGAGCCAACCCAATACTGAACCCTACGGACTAAGACTGGGATGTCATTAGAGGGCGGAGCCAACCCAATACTGAACCCTACGGACTAAGACTGGGATGTCATTAGAGGGCGGAGCCAACCCAATACTGAACCCTACGGACTAAGACTGGGATGCCATTAGAGGGCGGAGCCAACCCAATACTGAACCCTACGGACTAAGACTGGGATGCCATTAGAGGGCGGAGCCAACCCAATACTGAACCCTACGGACTAAGACTGGGATGCCATTAGAGGGCGGAGCCAACCCAATACTGAACCCTACGGACTAAGACTGGGATGCCATTAGAGGGCGGAGCCAACCCAATACTGAACCCTACGGACTAAGACTGGGAGGCCATTAGAGGGCGGAGCCAACCCAATACTGAACCCTACGGACTAAGACTGGGATGCCATTAGAGTTCATGTGCGTGTAAAGGCGTCCCGATACTTTCGGCAATATAGTGTATATATATATACTGATTTTTGGGTTCAGTGACACTTTCGGCCCATGAACTGACGCTTTATATATTTTTTATTCCATTCCCGGAACTCTCCGGCATACAAAGACGCGGCACAATGCGGCATTAGATGTTACCAGAGGACACACCGAGCCTATAAAGTTTTACTGGCCCAGCCGCGGAGGGGGTTCTAACTCAACGACAAGATCCAAGTCCACGTCTCCTTTCATCCCCCTGAGAAAGCGTCTTTGTGACTGAAGGAATTTGGGGGGGGGGAGGGGGGCCCAGGGAGACATAAGGGCCCCTGTAGAGGTCTCGCATAGTTACCGGCATGCCCGGAATACTAAGAGACCGCTGGGTCCCCTCTATTATCCCCCTGAGGATTTGGCTTGTATTTGGGAACCGGCTCTCTATTGTGGGGCAGCCAACCCTCCTGGCCCCGGGTCTATTCA